TTCACCTGTGGAGTCCCAATAGCCAGTCAGTTTCAGGTATTGCACCTGGCCAGAGTCCTTCTGTGAGTTTTGTGGTTTTACTATCACATTTTCCTATTTATTTTAACAAAAATATTCTCTCACATGTTGCTTTGTGACTACACAAACAGGGAAAACTGTCTCTTTTAAAATGACTAGTTTTCAAGTTGATGATGTCTCTCTAATAAAATATCTATTAATTAAAATACTAGAAGAACTCTTCCAATGGCATTCAGCTCATGTAAATGTATGTTTAAGAAAGTTTATGAACTTTATGAACAAAGAGGCAGATTCAGGCCTTGGATGTATGTACGGACTTCTCCTACTAACTTCAATTAGAGCAATGCAAAAGTATCAGAATTCCATGCATCACATGAAATCATAAGAGCTATCTCAGTAGTATCATTGGGCACGTCAACCATTTTTTAAATGTCCCTATCACCAGTATATCAAGATGCCTCCTTTGGAGCTCTTGCTGTGTATAAGCAGAACAAAGAGGGTAGACCCTTCCCCCGTTGAGAGACCTATTCATTTAACTGGGACTCTATATGGGGGTAAGAGTCTGTTCACACAGATCAGATCTGCAGGATTGGGGCCAAAGGATGCATGTTAAAAATGCATAGCAATTTAATTGGTTTTGTGTTTAAATTTAGTTTTTGTGCATTTACAGCAACCATGGCCACATGTCAGATATTAGTGTCTTAGCCAAATTAACCCTTTGTCAAATGTGACTTCTGAAATCAAATGATACTTTGGAGAGATAAGAATAGGATCTAATAGCATAAAGTTATCTGTGTATTAAAATTAACTTTTTAACCAGACGTTTAAAAAATTGCCCTCAGGTGAAGTCGATGTATGACAAATTTCAGCCCAGAGTAAAATGTTTAGAGTTAAATTATGGAGATTGAACAACATTAGGCTACCTTGCTTTAAAAATACTTTTCCTTCAGTCCCAGAGACAACTATTATGTTTTATAACTCTGGACTTCAGGGTAATTTGTTATGTTACAGTTTACTACACTTTGTTTTGCTATGTACTATTTTAAAAAAATCTAAAATATTTTAAAGTTATAAACCTTTTAAAATAGGACTCTAACGTGAACAATAATATATAATTTATAAAACATTAAACCAGTGTCAAACTATCATTTGTATGCTAAGTAAAACAAACTCTTTATTTAAATAAAAGACTTGTGTAACAAACTAGTAAAAGACAGGAAATGCATAATTACAGCCAACACATCCTTCTTAACTTACCCCACTTGTGGGGGGAGAGAAGTGGCTCCAAGCCTCCATAAGGACCTACAGGAAAACTTGAGCTTGCAATCAACTGAACTCCAAATCCTCTGAGATTTCAAAGGAGTTCTACACACAGACCAATTCCAGTATCTGAATTTTGAATTTCCCGATTCATCAGCTTGACACATATCCTCAGTGGCAATTAAATTAAGAGAGCGTACAAAGATTTAAGTTTCATTTGCACTTTGTTACAAAAATCATAAATGAAGTAAATGTATTTCAAGTGCACAGAAGCACCAATTCCTAGTTCCTGAATTTCCAGTTATACGTGTACTTTCATTATTCACATGCATAAATGTCTGCAGTATTTTAGGTGTCTTTTTCATTCAGGATTTTGCATAAACGAGCATATAAAATTTAATGGCCTCATCTGGTTTTGAATAGGCACCGACTTCAGTGGAGCTATGCCAATTTATACCAGCTGACAATCTGTCCTAACGTATTTATTCTTTCACAGGAGTCTGTAAAACTGCAAGTAATATTTTCTTAAGAAACTAGAGTATTTCTTTACTCCATTCTGAAGCAAAAACCACAGGGCAATCAAAGGCAATCTAGACTCCAATATGCTGTTCCCCCAACATATGTAGAATTCCTATTGGACTCTCCCACAAGTGTATTCATTAAACACAACAGTTAATTAAATTTCATTTTTAAAGGCAAGGCTCATACTCTTAAAATAAAAAAGGCCAGACTATTTTATTAGCAGGACGTCAAGGTGGGGGCCAGACCTTCTATACTAAAATTTCAGCTCAGAGCAAATTTTAATTCCCTGAAAATATTAATTTCAAGTCAAAAATCTTTGAAAACAGGAGCTTATAGCAGAAACCGTGACAACCTTAACTGCAGCTGTACGAATACACCACCATAAAATAAAAATACTTCCAGTTTTTCAGAAATACTTTCAAACTGTATAATGAAACCGAAGTCCAGAACTCCATTCAGTTAAAAAGATGTCAAGTGCTGGCATAAACAATTCAAATACAGACTCAACACTAATGTCAACATAAAAAGGTCAGTTTTCCTGCAGCACATCACATCTTTTTAATTCATAATCTAAAGCAGCAAGATAGATACTTTTGTTTAACTGTACAACCAAAATGATTGCATATTTTCCAGGAGCATAAAAACAGACCATTCTTTGTCTCAAATATCATATTTATACCAAAACAATGCAAGTGGAGATTCCCCCCCGCCCCCCTCCAGGAGGAATATAATTCTTGAAACCAGAACACAAGCTAATGGGCCAGATCCTCAGCTTGTATAAAATGGCATTGGATTTGACTTCAAGGAAGCGATACTGATTTATGCCAGTTGAGATCTGACTCAATATGTTTTGGAGGCAGATAGAGCAACTGACCAAACTAAAACCATTTACACATTCCAGATATTTTGAATATTGTGTAGTTCATATGCGGAAATACTGTTAAATTCTACATCTCTAATCTGAAACATTTTCCTAACAATCAACTGGCTGCCTTTGAACTAACCTACCCTAAAAAGGGCACCATCTTAAAAAGCATCATCCCATATGCATCAAAATATATATGTTCCATCACTATTATTTTCTGATTTGTTAACATTCACAGTAATTTACAAGGTAAAAAAAAAAATCAAGTAATGTGTTGGTGGTGAAAAGGTTTTTTGAAGCAGAAAGTGTATTGTTGTTGCAGGTAGTAACCAAAGCTAGGAGTACTGTTTATTAACACTTAAATTTCAAAGGTCAGTTTCAATAAAAAAAATCCCATCCAGCTTCAATGCGAAGATTTTTTTTCAAGGTTCCTATGACCTACACAAGGCACAGAAGTTAGAGAGAAATTTAATTGACTACAACCATTGCACAGTTATTATCCAGTTACAAGAGATTTCTAATCAGTATATAAAAGTCTGTATAACAGAGATGAACAAATTCTGCTCAACTCTTAAGGCAATTTGTTTTCAAATGCCTAATTGCTCCATTTTTTAAAAAAAAAGTTATGTTTCAGAGCATGCTTAACATACTGAATGTGTCTGTATATATATAAAATCTATGAATACTAAAGATTTTTTTTAAATCAGCAATCAATTTTCCCTGGAAGATCTTAACTTTTAAACAGATGAGGACAAGTTTGTTAAATTGGCTGGAATAGGAAAAATATTAAAAACACCATGGTTACTTTTATTTTTAAAACAAGTTAAAAAAAAAAAGTTATTAATGTAGGGCCTGATCAGAAGGCTACCTAAATTGATAGATTCCCACGGACTTCATCGGGCTTTGTATCAGGCCTATAGAATACACAATGGTACTTCTAACTGGAAGAAAAAGCTTTATTGAAATGATCTAAATAAAAATTCATGAAGTCACCATGGTTTAAAAACTGAAATTCTAAGAGCCCCAAAAGACCTGTTCCATTATTTTTACTTAAAAGACATCTAGGTAGAGACTTTTAATTCCCATTATTACAGTTTTGACTTTATATGCATTAGAAACATCTCACCAATACTAAGGGATAATAAACTATATAAATGTATACTTTTGGAAACTAAGGGGAAATTATTCTCTTATGAAGGCCCAACTGTAAAGTCAACAGAAAAACACATGTATTCTGGCAATGGTGAGAATTAGTTATTTCTATAATATATAGCTTAATCCTAATTTAAACATGAAAGTTTCAAGCCTGATTACTCAGAATAACTAATTATCAGTATAACAATTAAAGCAAAACCCACACAGTAGACAGTTGTTATATTATTTAAACAAAACTAATGCTATGGCATTCCCAATCACAGGTAATCATTTCAATGGCAGTCAGAGAGGTGGCTCAGAAAATGCTCGCTTTAAGACCCACACGCAAACAGTGCATTAAGTCCACCAGTGTTTACCAATCTGAATGTCAGTCATTCGGTTTTAAGTTCTTGGCCCAAGACTCAAATCTACCTACAAAGTTTGCTTATCTCAGGACTGACACTGCTCTTTATTTCAGCATGAAAGACATAGTTTGACCATATATATACACACACATAAGAAAGCATCAATGTTTTATTTGTGTGCATATATCGCACACACACAAAAGTGTATGTGTATACATAATTATATATATGCAAGCATACATACAAAACTGGTGCTTCCCCTAAATATGAATGTTGTATGCAACATGGCAATGTCATTAATAGAAGCTCTTGTGAGGAAAATTAACTACCAAATGGGACATGAATATCAACTATTGAGCACATTCAGTATGTATAGCTAATCTTTAGGGTATTATTTACGACTTCTGCCAAAAAAGTAGGAAGGAAGGTCAATATTAGACAAGTTTAAGCTGCAGAATTTAGGTATAAACAGATATTTAAGTATGTATTAATTGTTATTATGTAGTCAGGTTCACTAAGATTCCTTAAATCTTTAAATTTAAACTTGTATTTCCCTATATAAACTTTTTGGCATGCAAGAGGAACATATAGATGAATACACGGATTGCTTCTACTATAACAAACATAGTTCTACCATTCCAAGGGTATGTAACAAGGATTCTAATTTACATCTTGCCAAACGTTGGTGACAGGAGGTTTTTGTTTTGAGTTTTGCATGTGTGTTTGTGTATGTGTGCGTTTTCCTTTGTTTGTTTGTTTTTTTAAAAACCACATACGTTTTCTTTAAATAAAACATTTACGGTATAATGTTAAAAACCCATCACGGGAAAAAAAAATACTTGCATGGAGAAAAGCAAATTTTGTTCTTAGCACAGTACAAGGTAATGTCAAGATTTTAAAGACTAAGTTTTTGATTGATTCAAATCATGCTCTGCAATATTCCCATTCTCTGGAAACACAGCTGGAAAATTGTTATTAAAAGTTGCTGGAAACTCTAATGTAGTGTCAACATTTTGATAGCTCACATAAGAATTAAAGGACTGCTGTGGAAGTACTTGGCTATCAGGCATCTGCATGTATGCCCCTGACTGTGTGGTAGGGGGAATTCTTTGGCCAACTAGTTGCATTTTAGGTTCCCTGGGCTCCAGTTGTTGCTTGCTTTCTTCATCTGTGTCAAGACGGGTTAGCTTTTCTATCCACATGCGAAATTTCTCCTCTGTCTGCCTCTGCATCTCGGCAAAGCAGTTCATGGCCTCTTCCAGGACATTGCCTATGCAGTTCCTATCCCACACGGTGCCCCTGTCAAGCAATCCTGGAATTTCCCTGGTCGCTCCTCCAGATCCCCCAGCACGACTGTAGCCAGCTTTAAAGACATTGAGGCCATTTGATAAGACAACGTTAAGTAAGAACATTATAGTGTTTATTAAGGCATGCTAACTCAGGAAACAGTATAAACTTTTCTAACTATGGCCAGATGGATACAATATTGGGAGACCAATCTGCAGCCTCCAAATTAACCAGAAGCATTTACTTCAAAGTAAAAACCCACTGGGCACCACAGAGTTATTACTTCAAGTTCTTGGCTTTAAAAATATTTAAATAAACTCTGCTGTCACAATGTGCTTGTAGGTTTTGGAAACCAAATTTAGTCCGATTCCCACAGAAACTTTAGATGCTTTCACTGTTGATTCAAAAATCAAAACATCGTACAATATTTAATGATATAATTCATACCGCCATTAAACAGCAATACAAAAATATCAGATTTTAATGGATAAACCTCAATAATATACACATTTTACTTAAATAGTTAGTCCCCCACCACCACCACCATCAAGGGATGGGTAAACACACACACAACTGTACACATAACAGAGATAGAGATTGATACTAAAATTGTACTGTTTCAAGTAGCAAAACCCAAATTTTAGCCCTGTCAGCCTTTACTTCTAAAACAACACTGGACACTAAAGGAAGAATAAAATATCACACACAAAAAAAACCCTGATCTTGCATGTAGTATGTAAGTAACACCATGCTGCTATATAGGGAAAGGAGGAGTGAAACAGCTTCTGTTTGTTTCTGATGGCAGGAAAGACTAAACACACCACAGGGGTAACCCATGCAAAGCCCAAGCCTGCTCAAATTGATATCAGTGGCAAAACTCCCTTTGACTCAAATGTGAGCAAGACCTGACCCTTATTCTCCACAGTGTCAGAAAAATGGCATTTTGTTTCTAGGAGTCCCTCTTTCCCGGGTCCAGTGAGAAGGAAACTGCTTGCTCTCCCTTCTCAGTGAGGTGCTAAAATGACTGTCATTGGAAGGGTCAGAAACAATCTAAGCAGAGGAGCCCATCTTAGATTATTTTAGCTTCTAAACAAAAAAGAAAGGCAACGGTAATCTATGCTTTGGTGCGCAAACTCCTCAAAATGCCACCTCAAAAAAAGACAGTAACATGAGGATCTGAACCTGTATGAGGAAAAGTCAACAGCGTATACCTGGAACAGTTATGTTGTCCTAATACATAAAGGGTTACTTTATTTAGATGTTTTCACAACTAGACAAGGATCACATTAAGCTATTAAAAACAGGTAATTAACCGATAGAGTTTACATTTAAATTATTAGTATTTGCTAATAAATTAATAAATACGTTTAAGTGGCTTTTTCATGCAGCTAAATTTCTGGAAGAGTCTGTTTGGATGTTCACAATTTTCTTTATAAACCTAATGACTTGCTATAGGATATGGGTGTCCTAGTAAACAAAGTCATTATTGTTTACAAAATCCATAGGCTATCATATCTTATGAACAACAGAAAATACCTTAAAATGCAGAGAAATCACTGGATGACCTAGACCCAGAATGTATTGATAATGAGATAAAGCCCCAATAATGTGTTACTACTGTATCTTTTATAGGAAATTACAGTGTCATTTAAACAATACATTCTCTGAGAAGCCATTTAAATGAGACATGTAGAAGAATCCTTAAATTTTGGATAGCTACCAATAGTTAAGATTATTCTGTTCTTATTTTCTATTATTAGCAATACTATAGTTAAGGGTCACAGGGCATTTCCACTACGAGCCCCAGTTTTAAGGGCTTATCACTCATCTGTTTTCATATTAAACAGGCTAAAACTCAGCATTCAAGTTCTCTATTCAATAGCAAACTGTTTTGTAATATTTGGTCTCAATTGTGTGGGCTGCATTTTATTTAAAACAAGGTTGTGATTAGAAAGTATAATTTAAAATGGCATCTTGCTCAACAGATCTGCTTCCTGTGCGTATATTCAGGGTCACATCTATTTACTGACAAAACTTACATTTTCTGCTTTTTACTTCCAAATATTACTGCAGATCAATATAATAAGAGTAAGCTGAACTCTATTTATGCTTGCTCATCAAGGGCTTGATCCAAAGTTCAGTTAAACCAATGGGAAACTTCAAAGGGTTTTGGATCAGATCCTAACAACTTGTTAACTAAGTTCTAACTGCCCAATCCTTTTTTATTATTGGTGATGATGGGCAAGAAATAACCCAGATTGACGTTCAAAACCCTGGGATGAGTTTGCAGGGTTAGAAGCTAGAAAAAAAACATGCTTTTTTAACTTGTCAGCTGAAGGAATTTGATATGATAGCTGTTGAGACACAAATATGTAATCCTACACCATTTTTAAAGAAGCACTATTCAGAGTATAATTACACTTTAACTTAATAGTAGTAGCAAATATATCAGTTTGATATACTTCTTTTGCACTTCTAAGTAAAAGATGATGTATGATTTTGTACATGAAATTTTACAAGAGGCTTGTTTGCAACATGCCTCAGTCAATCTTTCAATTTTATTGGCAGATTTGCGTGCCATAAAGTCTAGTTTCAAGGTGCTTTTTGCATGATATTAAAACAATAACATTTATCTAATAGATCTCTCTGCACTCTGTAAACTTTATAGCTTTTGAATTTGGCTAGGACACCAAACAGCCTTGGAAACTTTAATGACCATAAAGGGATCAGGATATAAATACTATGCCTCATCTGAAACATAGCAGCTCCAGCAGAATAACATCCCTCAGCACTGCACTGGGGCAGTGGTTTCAACACTGACTTAGAGATTAGAGCACCAGCTACTGAAATCACCAACACTGTTTATGTACAATAGATTCCCCTTATTAGTAATCCTTCGATTGCCAGCAAAGAGTTGCTGTTACCCATCAGTTGCTGATAAGCAGAAGACAGCAGCCAAGGAAGGAAGTTGCAGCCAAGGAAGGAAGTTCTGCTGGGGGGAGCAGCCTAGATGCCAGGGCTTTCCTTAAGGAGCAGGGGTGCTGGGACCTATGGAGCTGCAGTCTCTCTCCCTGAGCTTCCTTCCCTGTGTGGGGTCCCCTGGTATGGCACAACCCGGAGAGCACAGGGGGAGGTACCGCAGCTCTAGCATCCAGCCTGCAGCCCCTCTTCCTGCTACTGCTCTGCCCACAGCTCCCCCATCTCCTGTGTGAAGGAGAGTTTAAGAGGCTGAAGCCCCAGAAGGAACTGTTAGGATGTGCTGTATTTTTGCAGGGCTGCAACCGGAGAAAAGAAGTCCCAGCACTACCTTTCCAGCCTCACAAACCTGCCTGCAGGGGGTACTCTGCGCATTTTCAAATTGATGTTAATGGCATGGGATTGGTTCCTGGAAATATGTTGCCATTAACCGGAAGTTGCTAATATCAGGATTGCTATTAAGCGGAATCTGCTATGTGCGTTCTTTAGGTCTCCCACCCCAGTAACAACTAGGATCAATGTTGTTTAATTTATGAGATCTGGCAAGATCAGTTTAAGATGGTATGCTGCATCTTGTCCTTAGCTATTAATAGTGGGGGGGGTCTCACTTGTTGATACACTAGCCCAGTACTTTTAAGGAAAATTGCATACTTTACAGCTAAATCTTTCCAAACAGATTTTTAAATATATCTGCTCTTGAATAATCATCCTCAGTTATTCTCTTCGGTTAAAATTCATTCCTTGGCAGAGTGCCAACAAAAGACCTAGGTACGAAGCTTAGGTGAAACTGAAATGGTTCATATGCTTTGCACTGGCCCTCTGCACCGATGTAAATTGCACCATGTGTTAGAAAGGCCTGCATACTAAAAATCCTTATGAATATACAGGTAATTTACATACATGAAATGGCAACTTTTCCAACTTTAATATTTCGGCTTTTAACAATATTCCCCCATATATTAGCCTAAAACATGGATTAATGCTCTTTTTAACATTCAAAACTGTTTTTGACTTATAGTAGCGCACAATGGTGTGTGGAATAACAATATTATGTTTTTATAGTTTAAGAAGAGTCAAATTGTTTTAAGCCAAATATTGATTCCTAGGATCATTTTGCATGCCGAGTTTTCTTCATCCAGAGACAGTTTGTACGGTGAAATTGGAAATCCACAAAGAACAAAACCCTAAACAATAACAGAAGTGCTAGCGGAAGCTGCTGTATCATATTTTATCAGTGCCCAAAGTGAATGCCATCATGTATCCAAGGATACAATGCATCTTGTATTTTAAAGATTGAACATCAATATTGGCATACAATAGAGGCATCTTAATTTGCATTAATTACAAGCCATTGTGGTTTACTGGACTGGAGCCCAATTCAGTGCCCATTGAAATAAATGAAAAGGTTCTCACTAACTTCAATGGGTGTGGGATAGTGCCTATAGTGCGTAAAGGAACAACGTCAAATATTCAAGAATACTGCCTCACAGAATGTACTTTTGTCATGTATGCCACTAATGTAGTTATAATTGTAATGAACTATTAGTAATGAACCTCATCATAATACTTTGCTATTCAGCCTTTGCTGAGAAGTGAAATAAGACTGCTAATATTTTAATGAAAATTATCGAGTTTGCAGATTAGCAGTGAGAATTGAAATTCTATTGCAAAATAGTCTGGTTCAGAAATCGTGTGTTTGAGTGAAAGCAGAAAAGCTAGTAAGATTGTTTATGTTTATGGCATCATTATGCATTTATTGGGACATTTTTCTTAATAATCATCCCAAACTCATTGCAAAAGCAATCATATTGTGGGGTTCAAAAATTACTTATCTTCACTCTTAAAATGGAAGATGTTCAGTGAAATCCTTTAGCATTAAAGACCCAATTGTATCCTATTAAGTACATCACTTTAATTTTCAAACTACCCACAGGTTTAAAACAAACTCTTTTTTCCCTATAGCTGTAAAATAATTTTACATGTTTTGACAGAAGATGACAGCAGGAATATTTTATTCTTTTTTACTGCATCTCTACATATCTGTGCTAAGAAAAACACCTATAGCAAAGTTATAATCTTGGAGCATCTTTGCTGGCATAGCTATTTTTCATGCTTATGCTAGACATGTCTGCAAAACAGCATCTATGGTAAGCTGCTGAGCCAATTTTGAAACAACAACTCATTAGTGCAAGAGCATCCAAACTTTATGACACTGAGGGTTACAGTGTCATAAGTCATTTGCATGAAGAGGTACAGAATTTTTCAAAATAAGTGAACGCATTTGCTCATTCTTATATTTCCCTTGATAGATGTACAGCAGTTTCTTGTTACTGAAGTTCAGGTGCAATTAAACCTGCAGTTTATCACCCTTTTATCACCAATAGGGGTAAATATGGCTGAACTTGGCCTTCAGGCTGCACTTTGGGCCGCCCTATACTAGTGTCTGAGTGGTCTTTCATTTTTAAAGTCTTTAGAGGGTCCTATTCACAACACAATGTCAACTCGCTATGCTCTCTCAATGCTCTCTATTAAGAGAAATAATTATGACTTTAATATAACCAGTTCACCCAATTCAAAGAAGGATCAAGCAGAATAAATATTTATTTTAAGTAAAAGTAGTCATGCCAGATCATTAGTGAGCCACATACAATAGGACAGTTAGAAACTCAGGTCAGATTCAAGGCTCAAGTACACCTATTAAATCTATTAATTTTCACTAGCCCACATAGAACAATAGGATGCATTCTGGATCATCTCTCTCACGACCCTTTTCATTTAAAGGGTAACTGAAATGTGAAAGAATATATTCTAATCACTGCATCCAATTGGCAAGGATTCATTAAAAAAGATGAAGTATGTCTTAAACATCACTTAAAAAAAGAATAGTCAAAGAGAAACCCACTGTTTAGTGTCAATCAGAACACATGGGCTATGAAAGAAGATATGCAGGTCACTGCTGTCCCCTAGTGTTTTGTATGCTCACTCCTTGTGTCACATGTAAAATTAGGCCTTGATGCAATGTCCACTGAAGTCAACGAGAGTCCTTCCATTGATTTCAGTGGGCACTGGATCAGGACCTTTGAATGCAAGCTCTTCAGGGCCAGGACTGAGGGCCAGATTTACAAAGGTATGTAGGCACCTAAAGATGCAGCCAGGTGCCTAGTGAGATTTTCAAAAATTCCTAGGCACCTAACTTCCATTGCAATCAATGAGAGCTAGGTGCCCAGGTGCTTCTGAAAACCCCACTAGGGCTTATCTGCAACTGTAGGCAGCTAAATACCTTTGAAAAGCTGGCCCTGGTCTATTTATTTGTTCCGAAGGACCTGATCCATAGCCCACTGAAATCAATGGGAGTCTTCAATGGGTTCTAACTCAGGCCCCAAGTGCTGAGGACACTCTAAAAATAATAAATAATGAGACAAGTGACTGTCAAAGTTATCAGTTACGTTGTACTATTTTAATTGGTAAATATAGCTACTGAACCACTATTAAATAAACTTCTATTTTTAAAAACAAAAAACAGAATTAACCACATAATTATGGAAGTCTGTACCTTTCCCATACCTTCCAATGATAAACTGCATTTCATGTGTTCAATCTACATCCTAGCAAAGAGATGCAGCCTTACAGAGTATAAGCAAAATATCAGTTTTCAAACAGATAGACCAGCACCATTCACCATTATTAAAGTTGAAACAGTTACAGCTATTTGTAAAATCGTATGTAAATTTATCTTTATATATATATTCATTTAGCTGTCAAAGTTATTAAGACTGCCATTTTCCTTTAAATCTTCCTTTAAACTACAGAAATATGCTGTTATTTAGCATGCAGTTTATCCCCCAAACAACCTCTTTAGTTAGCAGAAAGGGGGAAAAGGCAGATCCACCCAGGAAAGACTGGCAAACCAAAAATTTTATTTTAAATTTTATTTTATTTTTTAAGGTTGCCATACGATGAAGGTTTTGAGGTATAGTATACTGGAAAAATAGTTCACACATAATCCTGACCATGGTATTTGCACCAATTAAATAACGAAGACTCACCAGACGAGAAACTTTAAGAACTTATCTTTCTTCTGCTATAAAAATCATGAGAATGCCCCAATAATTTGCTGCACCCAGCTTGTCAACATGGATATATCGGAGAATTCGGAAATATAAAAATTATAGATTCATAGAACACAGAAGGATGGAACTGGCCTACTCCTAAAATTTTGAGATACCAGGAGTGGGGACAATTTGGGGCATGTACAAATAATTCTTATTTATGCACTAAGTAAGTGGCCAGCTTCAATTTGCATGAATGTAACTAACAAAAAGGTTAAGTAAACTTATAATTTGAAATGTAGAGCTGGAAAGCACAGCATAAGTGCAACACTGGAGAATGGGGCCTTATGGTAAAATGGGCAATAGATATGCCATGTTATTTCAAACACAGATGCTGAGGTGCTGTTGTAATATATTAAAGTGCAGTTGCCCACTTATAATAATGTATTGGCTAATTAGGCTGTTATGATTATTACCGTCTAACCAGCACTGATAAGAGTTCATATATGTTTACAAAGAAAAATCTGAAAATTCCAAGATTTAAGATAGTCCCTTCTACAATTTGCTGTTGTGCAAAAGCAAACTGAAAACCTCAGAACAGATTTTAAAATTTGCCATGTCTTGTTAATACACTGCAGTCTTCAAATTTACATAGAGCTGCAGTTCTCCTGGTTTTTCTCAAGGGTCACTCATCTAATTTAGCATGACAGCTGAGAAACGATGTCAGGCACTTTACAGTTCAGTTTAAAAAACATCCTCTACCTGGTATCTCTGCAGTGATTGTCTTGCTGCTCCCTGAAACCTCTTCATCATCTTCTGATGAACTCGTGCTTGAGTCACAGGTCAGGTCACTATCACTGGTACTGCTGTCCTGCAGCAGGTTGTATTTCTTGCGAGCAGCTGCCTCCCGTTTCTGTCTTAATAACCGGATTCTTTCTTTGTGCTTTTGGCTCCGATGACCTTTTACCTTGGTGACTCGTCCATTCTGCTTATCACTAGACTGTCGATTTTTCTTGGCAGCCATAGTTGATGTTTCACTTTCAGACCTGGATCGTCTGGATTTTCTCCCAACTGCAGCCCCAGAAACTCCAGAAGGGTCTCCCTCTACAGGAGCTTCAGCCTGACAGGGCTCATTCTCTTCTGCGGAAGACAGCGTATCTGAATCAGCCAAATGCCCACTGGAAGAAGGGGAAAGCATGCAGTGATTAGAAGAGTCACTCTCATAAATTTGGCCTGCTGTTGGCTTATCACTCTCTGTAGAGGCTAACTGAGACTCCGAGGAGTCCCGTCTCAGTTCCATCAGTAAGCATGGCATTGAGGAGAGCACCACAGAATCTGCTACAATGGGCACACCATCTTTCTGAGCACATGTGTCTAGTTCTATAGGTCCATCTTCACCAGGAGCTGCCTCTTGTTTTTCAGGGAGTTTTGGTGAGACTTCTGAATCAATGAGTTCTTCTACTTTTCCCACCGCCTCCATCTTCATTTCAGAGTTCCAAACTCCTCCTTGTCTCACAGCATGGAGTCTAGAGGACTGAGGGAACTAGATTAGGTTTTCAACAGCAAAGCAACCTGCATAAGAACAGAACAGTAATGACAATTTACTCAAATAGCAGAATCACTTCTACTTTTTTGGTCATGTCCACAATTTCACCCAGTGAGACCACTTCTTTATTCAGTTAAAGCTTGTAAGGTACATTACAATTTTGGCTGTGGTACTTTTCTTTAGCTTCTGCCTTTTCCTGGTTAACTCAGTCTGTTATACTGACATGCTTAATGCTTTCCCTTTCTTAATGAAAGATGGCACTATCATTGTACAAAATACACTTCAATCTGAGCTAGTTATCACAACAGATCAGAACTAAAAATGACTGCAGTTTATAAACTCTTACTTTGGAAAGTTTAAATTAATACAATATAAGCAGATTTTGAACTTTTATCTAGAAGCAATTTTTAATACACTTTTAATACACGTTAAAGGAAACTATGATGTCACCCCTGGGGAGGCCACCTTTAGGGGTGACATCATAGTTCAGTTTTCATGCCAGTGGGAACCCAATGAGTGTTAGCAGTCCACTTCGAGTACCACTAAATCTGCTGAGGCTCTGGTTTAGTACCAGCCCAGAGAGAAGTGGCGTTGATGGTTCACTTACAGTGAAGTACTAACAATACTTCATACAACATTTAGGTGCTCCCAGAAGGTCTCAGATATGAGTATTGACCCATCCTGACCTGGTTTAGCTGATAAGATTGGTCAAAGGAACAGCATAAAATGGCATGGCCGGTGACAGGAAACACTTTCTATCCACACAAAGTTTCAATCGCATCTTTTACTTCACGTTATAGTTCGATAAACAGCACTGTTCCATCTTAAATGTTAAAATCAAGCTGTACAGAAAGCTAACTTATAGGTCCCCAACCACTGTAGTATCTGAGCACCTCCAAAGTATTATAAATAAAAATAGCATTAATTCTTTAATCTTTATCATAGATTCCTTCCATCCACATTTAAATTTCAACTTCAACATACCGGAAAACCAGTGATGAGCTCCCAAAATCCTAATAACCGGTTCCCTACCGGGTCCTCGGCAGCGCTTTGGCGGCGGGGGCGTCTTCACTCTCTCCGGGTTTTCGGCGGCAGGTCCTTCACCCGGAGTGAGTGAAGACACCCCCCACCCCCGCAGCCGAAGATCCAGTAGGGAACCGCGCGGTGAGTACAAGCCCTACGTGCCTGTCTCCCCCCTCCCCCCATCCGACCCCAACCCACGTCCTGCCCCCGACTGCCCCCCTCAGAACCCACAACCCATCAACTCCCCCGCTCCTTGTCCCCTGACCACCCCCTCCCGAGACCCTCCACCCTAACTGCCCCCCAGAACCCCACCCCCTACCCAACTCGCCCCGCTCCCTGTCCCCTGACTGCCCCGACCCCATCCACCACCACCCCGAAAGACCCCCGGAACTCCCACGCCTACCCAACCCCCCCCATTCCCTGTTGCCTGACCGTCCCCCCCAGAACCTCCGCCTCCTCCAACCGCTCCCTGCCCCTTATCCAACCCCTCCTCCCAGCCCCGGCCCCCTTACCATGCTGCTCAAAGCGGCAGGGGCTGCCCAGAGCGCTGGCGCCGGCGGCGTAGCACGCGGGGCTCTGCAGGGGGAGGCGGAAACGGGGGAGGGGCCGGGGGAGCCTCCCCCGCTGGGAGCTCAGGCAGGCTGGACAGGACGGTACCGCGGGCCGGATGTAGCCCGCGGACCGGAGTTTGCCCACCCGCCGGCCACTTTAATAACCGGTTCTACATCGGCTTCTAAATTTAACAACCGGTTCTTGCGAACCGGCTCCAGCTCACCACTGTGTAAAACCATGCAAAAATCTTTCAATTATCATTCCCACTTATATGTAAATTAAAGGGGACAATCTGTTTAAGCCTAAAAATTTGCATGTGCTAACAAGGTAATTTAATAGTTACTACTGTCAACATTCATTATTTTAAAAAAGTATACAGTGCTATGTTCTAATTTGTGGGAGGGCTTTTTAAAGACTATTTCTGTAGGATCTAGAAAAAGACAATGAGTACTTGTATAACATAAGAATGGCCATACTGGGTCAGATCAAAGGTCCATCTAGCCCAGTATCCTGTCTTCTGACAGTGGCCAATGCCAGGTGCCCCAGAAGGAATGAACAGAACAGGTAATCATCAAGCGATCCATCCACTGTCACCCATTCCCAGCTTCTGGCAAACAGAGGCTAGGGACACCATCCCTGTCCATTCCCATAGGAAGGATGGTCTAATGGGTAAGGTGCTAATCTAGACTTGGGAGATCCAGGTTCAATTCCCTGCTCCATTACAGACTCCCTATGAGATGTTGGGTGCCTCTGTTCCTCAGTTCCTCTCTGTAAAATGGGAATAATAGTACTTCCTTACCTCAGAGGGTGCTGGAAAAAGCTCTAGATTATGTTACCAATCCCTTGAATCATCCTGAATCTTGAGGGTTTTTTTTTAAAAATATATTTCACTCCTCCCTAAGTGCCCTGATTGTCAGATGCTACAGTAGGGGGGAGGGGATCATAAATGTACTTCAAACAGACACCAGTGAAGGAAGGAAAGCTTAAATTAACAAAACTTTCAGTGCTGTGCTGACATTTATTAATTGTACTGGCTACTTAAACAAGGAAATAGACTTGTCATATTAGTGTTGGGCAACATGAAAAAACACAAGAATGACAAATCAAGGTTTACTAAATGAGAAAGTGGAAACTTCTAAGAGAGAATCACAATTACAAATGCTAAAGAAGAAAGCATGGCGATGTATATAGAGAAAAAGCATTTGACAGTACTTAAATGAGCAAAACTAGTTTGAAACATAGAATATCAGAGTTGGAAGGTACCTCAGAAGATCTAGTCCAACCCCTGCTCAAAGCAGGACCAACCCGAACTAAATCATCCCAGCCAGGGCTTCGTCAAGCCTGACCTTAAAAACCTCTAAGGAAGGAGATTCCACCACCGCCCTAGGTAACCCATTCCAGTGCTTCACCACCCTCCTAGTGAAAAAGTTTTTCCTAATATCCAACCTAAACCTCCCCCACTGCAACTTGAGACCATTTCTCCTTGTTCTGTCATCTGGTACGACTGAGAACAGTCTAGATCCATCCTCTTTGGAACCCCTTTTCAGGTAGTTGAAAGCAGCTATCAAATCCCCCCTCATTCGTCACTTCTGCAGACTAAACAATCCCAGCTCCCTCAGCCTCTCCTCATAAATCATGTGCTCCAACCCCCTAATCATTTTTGTTGCCCTCCGCTGGACAAAATATGAGAAGGGCCTTCTGAAGCTGGTAATTTCTACAGAGAATTCTTATGGACAATATATAACTTCATAAGATCCACTTTCTCTGCCTCTTTTCAAATGTTACAGCATACATCAAAAAGGAAAAAAAAAAAAAACTTATAACTAGGAAAGTGAATATACTGAGATGTAAAAGCATCCTAATACTATAATACTTCCGTGTACTTCACTGGCAAATCTCATTATTATTAAGTAATATACCGGTTATACAGATGGAAAAACAGAGGCACAGAGAGGTTAAGTGACTTGTCCTAGGTCAAACATAGGATATATTATACCAGGGAATGGATCCCATGGCTTTGTCTACATTAGATTTTTTTAGTCTGTAATTCGCTATGGGTGCAGTTCTCTGTTGGCAGCACTGGTTAAAGCAGCAGAGTAGACAAGACTCATGTGGGCTCAGGCATTTTTAACCTTGAGTCCTCCAAGCTTTGTCTACATTAATTGTCCCCAAGCTATAACTGGAGAAGCTATACCATATGGGAGTTAAGGGTCCAAGAAAACTTTGTGGAAACAAAGTCCATGATTCCCTTTCCTTTTGAGCTAGGGAGTCAGAAGGGAAGCAGCAAATGCCTGGGCCAGGGGAAGCTCTGGGAACTTGAGATTTACATAGGGTACAGAAGTCAACAGGGCAAATGGTTGATGATGTTCAGCAGTCATGCTTCAGCTCTGTTGATACAGATCCCTGCTGCTTCTCCACTATTTATCTGCACATATGGTAATACACTAAGTCCCAAAGCATGCTGGTGATTTTGTAATCATGTTTATGGAAATTCTGGATTTCATGATACTCTTCAAGATAACCTTCCCTGTTTTTGATACCACCATATCACCGCTAGACACCAGAAATCACATCACTACATGCCCCTTGCAGATTGGTGATTTTAAAGATTCCATTCTGAAATCAAGATCTACACCCTGCTGCTTCACAGAAACAAAGATGCTCCAGCTAGAAGCATAAGGACTAGTGCCTTAGAGCACGTCTTCACATACAGTACTGCAGCTGTGCCACTGTAGCACTTAAGTGAAGATGCTCCTACACCGATGGGAGAGATTCTTCCGTCAGCATAGTTAATCTACATCCCTGAGAGGCAGTAGCTATGTCAATAGGAGAAGCTCTCCCATCAACATAGCGCTGTCTATACAGGGAGTTAGGTCAGTATAACTATGTCTCTCAGGGCTGTGGATTTTTCACACCCCTGAGCGACATAGTTATACTGATATATGTCTGTACTGAAGACCTGGCCTTAGACTTAAAGGCACTGAGATTGAAGAAAAAGTCACTCTCCCCAATCTTAATGTGATATAAGGGTGGGGAAAGGGCTCATGTCCCAGAGTCTTTTCAGCACCCAGAAACACCTTCAGGAAACATGCAACCTCATTTCCCCAAAGAGGACTAATGGAAGAAGTACTGGCAAAGGGAAAGGGTACCAACAATTTCTCCTGGTGGCAGTACCTCTCCCTGCTAGCCGTGGCATGGAGTAAGGAGTAGCATTTAGCCAGTCACCTGTAATTGATAATTTATTAGACTCACTCTTGGAAGTACCCACCTGGCCAGGAACAATGCACATTAGTTAGGCTGTGTGGGAAATATTTGTTCCGAGGAGCCAGGTCTGCAGTCTCCACATCTGTCAATCTTTTACTAATACTGATTTTTTTTAAATAAAAGTGTCCCTTGTACATAGCAATCCTGACAGAGATGTCTGCCAAGATTCAAAGTGTTCCCGTGCTGC